CATTAATTCTGTAATTTTTTCCATTTTTCTAAAACTGTGATACAGTGCTAATTCCTGTTTCTTTTCACTCACAGATGCTCAGTTGGTCTCTACATACCTTTATTCCTCCCATAGTTTAAATACATAGATTATGTAAATAAATATATACAAATACATAGTTAATGTCTCTACTGGCCAGAGGCTAGCATGATGGATGAGCAGGAGTTTGCTCACCAGCAAAGTGCCTCATAGAAGGCCAGTCCCATAGTTCTGGGGTTGGGGAGAGAGTAGAATGTTGAGAGTCCTAGCATATATTAGCCTTGGGACCTTCTCAACGTTCAGCCCTTAAATCAGCCTTTGGGTTTGTCTGTATTGCAAGGCATCTACTAGCAGACAGCTGTTGCTACAGGGGAACGCACCAGAGCTTGTTTCCTCGTGCACAGGCAGAAGTGGTTCCACTACAGTAGCTGAATTGTCAAGGACCCCACTGCATTTTGGTAGGCACCAGCTGTTCAAGCAGGCTGCAGCTGCTGGTAGAAAATCTGGGCATATCTACCTGTGTTTTCTAGCAGGGTTCCCATGGCAGGAGAATTGTATCACTTACAGAGTAGATATTGCTTTCCTGCCAGAATGAGAGCTCTCCTCTCGTAGGGATCTGTGTGCACTTACAGTGGATATATTTGCAGTTTGGCTGACAGAACTTACATTTTGTTGGCAAAACTACTGTAGCCCAGGCCTCTGGCTAATAAGGGTCGAGTAGTTTTGCAGCCCCTGTATTCCTGACTTCTGGACTGGAAGACGAATCTTTTGCTTCCTCTGCTTGCTTATTCCCATTCTAGAGCCCTGTAACTGAACTGTTTTCCAGATGGTGGGGAGTGGAGGGGTCATTTATCTCCTGCCTATCTAAGACAACAGACAAAAGAGCATCTGGCACTTATTTCTGATGGTGCTTGAAATTTTCTCAAGCAGCAGTAGTGTGAAAATGATAAGATTCTTGTCTGCTTTGACACTTAACTGAACAGTTCATTTTAGCTTGAGAAAAAAATGAGTTTGCCCGCAGACCCAGGAGGACAGTTCTGTCTAAATTCACATTTAGAAAAGTATCTCTGCAACTGTAAGGAACATACTTTGTTTTCTAGTCCAGTAGCATTTTAAGTCCAGTCTGGACTAGTGGCCTAATCTTCCTAGTTTCTAGAGAGCTTCTCTTCTCTAGTGATAAATGAATTTTGCAAGACCTTGCTGAAATATTAATACTTCATTTTCTAAGTTGCTGAGAAGTAGCATCAGAAGTGATGTTTCTGCCATTTCTTTGTCTAAATTAGACTTATTTTAAGTGTGTTGCAAAGGCTTGTAGATATTGCCAGTGAATAAAGAATAAATAGCTGAAAAAGTGTTGTCTCAGAGGTATTTGTGGGATACCTATTTTGTTTTTTCTCATGAATATAGATATGTCTGGAGTGTTGACCATTTAAAAAATCTTACTGGGTACTGTTTTCCCTCTGAGTATCTTCACTTTTTGAATTCCTAGATCTCAGTAGCTGATCTTCCAGGATTGATTGAAGGTGCTCATGCAAACAGAGGAATGGGTCATAAATTTCTCAAGCATATAGAAAGAACTAAACAACTTCTCTTTGTTGTAAGTAAATATATTAATGTCAATGGCTGCTTGAATTTAGCTTGTGAATCTGTTTAACCATTTCTCCGTATTTAGCCTACCTGCTCTTTTTGGCACTGGTAAGGATTCACTTAGAGTAAGCATCCAATTTTGCACCCCATGTTTCAAGAAGAATGTGGAAAGAGTCCAGAGGAGAGCAACACAAACTATTAGATACCTGGAAAGTATGATTTATGAGGAAAGGCTGAAAGAGCTAGGATTATTTGGTCTGGAGAAGGGTGGGGGGAGGGGAGAGAGATTTGATAAGTCTTCAGCTACCTGAGGGACAGTTATGGAGAGGATGAAGATAGCCTTTTCTCTGTGGCTGTAGGGGATAGAACTAGGAGCAATGATGTTAAAGTGAAGCAGAGGAAATTTAGACTGGCGATTTAGAAAGAACTTTCTGATTTTGGGGGTGGTCAGTTATTGGAACAGCCTACCTAAAGAGGTTGCAGAATCTCTGTCCCTGGACATTTTCAAGAACTGGTTAGATATACACTTGGCTCAGATAGTTTGTTTTAGGGATGATCTTCTTGAGCAGGGGCTGGACTAGGGGACTTTATGAAGTCCCTTTCAGACTTATTGTCTTATCCTATAAAACTTATGATCCTGCAAGACTAAATGTGATGATTCTCAACCAGGATGCAGCACTGCCACAGGCTGTGCTGTGCAGTATTAGCACTGTTGGATGTGCAAGCATGATTCACAAGATAAACCCAGAGATTTCAATACAAATCTCTAAAATTAAAATTATTTTGACCTGTTGTGGTCTTTCTGAGTTCTTTGCAGCAGGAAAACTTCTCTGTTGTTTTTCTACAGTCAAAAAACAATCGAAAAATAAGACATAGCATTTTGTGAAGGCACCTTGCATCTAATGAGAGATGCCTTGAATCTAAAAATGGTTGGGAACCACAGTCTTAATGTAACCAGATTTCAGGGAAAAAATATTTCTTGCTGTTCTTGTGTTTTATGCTAAACATATAATTTAACACAGTGTGTGTTATGGAAATCTAAATAAACTGATGGATATTAATGTAATGAAGGCTATTACAAGTTTATTAAGGATTGCAGAGGGCTGCACTTAACCCCAATGACCCAGATGGTCCCTTCTACTCCTATGTTTCTTTTTTGCATTAAGATTCCTATAAAAAAGTATTCTTGGGCCTGGGTTTTTTAGACAATGGTAGGGCTTGTGGGGAGGTAGTTTCTCGTGTAACTTTATCTTTCTTTTTAGGTTGATGTCTCTGGCTTTCAGCTCTCTCTTAAAACTATGTTCAGAACAGCTTTTGAAACTATTCTGCTTCTTACAAAGGTAATTTCTTATCTTCATAAATAGTAATGGTGTACCCTGCCAAGGAAGAGTACTGGATACTTCTTGTTTGAAATCTTAAAGCTAGGGGCAGATATTACACACAAACTGGTTTAAGTGATCAGAAACTGGTTTTAGTCTGTAACAGAACAGATGTTCAGTGCATATAAACCAGTTTGAGAAGAGCTGAAACTGGGTTGAGATAAACCTGGTTGAATGTGGTATCAAACTTAACTGATTTGGCTCAAACTGGTTTATGCAGTGTCTGTCCAAGACCTTTGCTGGTTTAGGATAAAACAGACACCCCCAGCATCCTGGCAGGGCTGGCCCCTTCCCTCTGCTCCCTGGCTGCAGCTCCAGAGGCTGTGGGCTGTTTCCCCCCTCCCCTCACCACTCCCTGCTAAGCAGGAATTCCCCCCTCCCCTCTGCCCTGCTGAGGAGGTGTCTGTGTAGTAGCTAGCAGATTATATGCTGGCTACTGTCCATGCTGAATCAACAGGTAGTTGGTAATGTCCCTCTGTTGTTTTCTTAATTGGATGATAAACACTATTATCAATTCCCTGCTGGGCTAATCAGAGCTCTTGCCTGAACCTAGCCACAGCCCCTCAGCTCCATGCTGTGGAAGGAAGGGAGGGGGTACTCTAGCACCCTCGGGCTTCTTGCCTGAGCCACCGCAGGTATGTGCCTGCATTTCTGGGATGTCTGTCCGGTTACAAAACTGATTTAGCCTAGCCAGGTTAAACTAACCTGCAAAGATTGGTTAGGCTCAGGGTTTTTGAATGTCTGTCCCTAGCCTAAATGTTTATTAGGGGGCCGCTGGGTTAGAAGATATAAATGAAAGCCAGCTAACAAGTAGCTGGATTTTTTTGGACTGATTAATCCTTTTTGCTAGCAACTTTAAAAGGTTTGGAGCAATTCAGGTGTGCTTTAGACCAGTGTTTTTCAACCCGAGGTTCACAAAAATGTATGAAAGGGTCGCGAACAAACTTTAAAAATGGATTCTTTTTTAAAGGAGAAAAAAGTGGGAAATCATTGCTTTTCCCTTTCAGGCTGGCAGAGTTCTAGCCTGCAAGGGGCTGCTTGAGGACCTCTATAACCCACACAAACCGCCCTGCCCCCCACACTTCAGGGCTGGAGCCTGGGCCTGGGGGACAGTGGGCCAGAAATGAGGGCCACTGGGTTGGGACTGGCCATTGATGTTTACAAATGGGTCCTGCTGTAAAAAAGGTTGAGAATCACTGCTTTAGACACAATTGCTTCCTTACTTTCTATTATATGAAGTGATGCTGTGAAGTCAAGCTGAAATAAAAAAAATTGCACCTTTTCAGTCGCATACATGACTTAGTTTTCTGAGGAATGAAAATGAGTATACTACTAAATCCTAGGCTTCGGCTCCATTAGGTCACAAAGTTGGTCCCAAGAGCCTGTTCGGTCTTCAGCTTTGCAGAAACCTTTCCCTGTTGGGGACTAGTTCTGAATCTCGTGCCTTATGCTGTTATGGGTTTTCATCATCACATGTGATTTTTAAATAATATATTTAAAGATGATGTTGAGCTTGTACTGATTTTTCTTTCCCAAGTCCTGTAACTTGTTTTCTACATTAGCATATGTTAATATATATTTCCTTGCTGTGTGATTTGTATTTTTATTATTTTTGGTATGAGCCACAGAAGAGGGTCGTATACATTTTCAAATGTAAGAATATAGAAGATAGCCAAAAGTTTCCCTTCTTAAAAAAGTTGTCGTAGACTTTGTTTGCTGAAAGTTTTCTGAACTGTAACAAAATAGGAATAAATGTTTTGTGTGTGTCCTAATGCAGATATGAATAAAAAGAACAAAGCTGTCCATCATCATTATGAGAAATGAGTCAGAATTGTATATGGTGCATACCTACAGTGAATGCATGTAAACAAGATGAGCATGTCTACACAAGCAATTAATGTGACTGAATATACTCCAGCTTAATTTGAGCCAGAGTAAACTAATTCCAATGTCACCGTCTACACATGCATTTAAGCACAGTAATTTATTATGCTGCCAGATAGTCTCATCAGTTACAAGTAGTATCTGGCAGCACAGCAAATTAGTCTACTACACCCTAATTGCCACGCCTGTGTAGACAGTGACGCTTTACTTCACAGCAAGTTAATCTGCTGCACAATAAAGGTTCTCATGTAGACATGCCCACTGAGTTTCAATGAACATCTGGTTCTTTTATCAAACTACTCATGTGCTTCAGGTCAATGTACTAAAGTAAATTTCACTGCCTTGTCAATAGTATGATGGCCTTTCAGTTGATTGGGAGGGAGAAAAGAAAACTAAAAAGTACTTTTAAAGTGAAAAAAAATCTTGCAAATGCAAATTAACCTTTACTTTAAGGAGCTAGAGTTATACGATGAGACACTTCAGACAAAGCCTGCTCTTCTTGCTGTGAATAAAATGGACTTGCCTAATGCACAGGATAACCTGCATGAATTTATGAAACAGTTACAGAAGCCTCAAGGTAAACTAAACTAATATACTGCAGCTTTTTTTTTTAAGTGACCCACTATATATTATAAACAAGTTGATTGTAAGTATTTTCAGAAGTATCTGCTACCTGGTGATAAGCTGAGTAGTAGAATAGGCAAAAAGAGTCTTTAATTAAATTGATTTAAATATTACAGAAAAATAATGTTGCTCAGTTTACACCTTTGCTAATTAACAACTTCCGATGACAAGGAGATTATTTAAATAGCACAAATGGAAATATATTTTATTAGGGGCTGACTCATTAATTTTATACAAACAAAAAATAAGTGTCCTTGGCAACTTTCCTTCCTTCCTTCTGCTTTCCCTTTGAGATCACAAAACAGCAGAATACACTGATATTTCTCAAACCAAGTGACCAAGAAACAAATGTAGATAGGGGAGGGAGATGGGTGTTGGAAAGCAAAAGACCCAGAAGTTTGGAGAGGTTTTTTTTTGTCCTGAGATTCTCTATAAACCAATGCAAACCAGTTCCTCATCAGTCCTTGGAAGGTATCAATTAGACAAAACAGTTCTTTTAAGGAGAGAATGGTGCCCACTACCTCATAAATTAATACCTTCCCCCCTCTGATATATACTGCATATATTACACAGTAACAACATTAAGAAGTTCTTTTTTGCCTGCCTTTAGATATTTCTGGGATGTCTAGTTAGAACCTGAGTACAAGTGTTCAGAAGCAATACATAAACTAGAAAACATTACACAATTCAATAAATGCTATCAATACACTGAAACAACTGCAGTATGTGCTAAATCCATATACAATTTTGATTGTCTAGTACATAAAAAAAACCTGTGTAAGCACAAGTAAACCTCACATACCACAAAAATGTGTATTTTATTCACTGAACATATATTATAAGTGACAACAGTTGTATGGAAAGAAATACGTTCATATAGATGTACAGTGGAATCCTGATGTGAGCTCCACAAACAGAGGAAAGGTCGTTGTCCTCTCTGTCTGTTTAGGAAGGGTAAAAGGAACCTAAATGCTCAGTTATTTTGGAGGAGAACCCCACCCCCCCCCCCCCCCCACCACACCCACCCCAAAGGATCTCCTTGAAATCCCTGTTACATAGGGATCATCATGTAGTCAGGGTTGGGTTACCCTCCTGTGGAGATTTGGGCAGCTACTTATAAGCTTGCTGTGTCTTCGGCCTTCATGGGTATTAGGCTGGAGTGGGATGACAACATCCTAGCAGATCAGCCTTGAATTGGGAGAGCACAAGGGTGGCTTCTGACTTCCTTAGTCCCCCCGTGTCCTCTGTGCTCAGAAGCAAAGATCAGAATCATATCCTGAGGGGAAAAAAAACATACTTTTAATGAAAAGATATAACTGCAGTTACTAGAACTTCTAGG